CGAATTCAAAACGATGAAATAACCGACTATATACGAGGCGTGAATGCAGATAGAACAAGGAATAAAGGTATGTTAAATTAATCGATTATCACAAATGGAGTAAGAATACGTAAGGATCAATATTTACTATAGTATCTCCCATGTCTGAGATAGAGAGGCAGAGAGCAGATGACTCTGAAGCTTGACCGAACAGGAGTCCCAAACTTACGGTCAGGTACCGGTACGTCCGGTCAACGACGGTGCCTCAATACCATTACATTTTCTCAACGCTTCATTTGGGTTGTTCTTCATTCGCCGTGCATGCAATTTATCAAAAGAAAGACTAGCAGTGAAGTTAGTTTTTTTGTTGGGTCATCTGTGGAATGTGTCGACTGGCACATCCGAATCACTGGTTTCTAGACACGCGTTGCGGAATGCATATTAAGCAAAAACAAATTGGCAGTATAGTAATTTCTGAATGCCGACTTTAAAATTAGTACCAAACTGAAGAGCAGCAATGAATCAACAGCATGCGCCTCTCAATCAGCGTCAGAAGCAACAGCGGCGGAGGCACCCAATTGGTCATCGGCAAGACCAGCGGTCAGCAGTGTTCTGGCTCCCCAAAATTTTATATCACGTCGAGTGTGGCCCGCGGGCCACAACAATACCGGTTGGAATTCACCGGTTCAAGTGCCACTTACGTACTTCTATGTTAATAAGGATTAGTATTCATTACGAGCACACAAAGCTACGCTGTTGACATAAACTGCGTGTCAGTAGCGTGTGTAACTCGTATTCGTTGCTGACATAAAGTCAAGAACCAAGAGTTCACGTCGTCTGATTCCAGGCAATTGCGTACGTTGCATGTCAATAACGCACATTACATGTTTCGCTGTCCATTATCCATCTCGCGTCGCTCATGTCCACACTACACAAGTCTGGCATTTACATAACAATAATACAAGAGAAACAGCTACACCACACAAATCAATCATAAGAATATCTATGAACATCCAGGCTACAGAGACACTTATGAACTAAATACAACCCTTTTCTTGGCTAAAAATAACGATTAGTTGTTCTCACCAAACGCTTCGCATTAATGATAATAGAACAATATTGGTGCAGCCATCGCATATTTTCACAACTTTTTAGCACCGCGGTACAAATCGACGAGTTAGCAGCGAAAGGCATAATTAAGATTCAGAGATAAATGATTGTAAAAAGAACATACACGGAAATGGCAAGGACAATCACTCAAAAAGTTTTTAATATCACATTTTGTTACTATAAATTTTGCATTAGACATAAAATAAAAGGAAATTCGACGCTCACATAGTGGTGCTTGAAGGCAATATGAACCAGTAAGCAAGAGGCTAGCGAGATAAAGATGTTCCAGAATCCACTTACTTTTACATGAAATCGGCCTCAATGTAACACAATCTATCTAATAAATTAAAGGTTCAATACCAGTATGGTTTTATTATCTGAATGCGAAGGTTTATAATCCCGTAAAAAAATAGGAATGAAACTGAACCTAAATATACAAGACAATACAAGGTACAACATACGTTCAACGAGTCACGATAGAATTAAATGATACGCGTTATCATTAAAGGACGAAGAAGAATAATATGAATACGAATGATAATGAAGTAAATTAAAGTATTCTAACTCCAGCACGACATCACATTCACCAAGTACTGGAGGAAGAAAATGCCTTCTAGAAAGAAATTAAATCTGCACATTTTGAATAGAATTTTCGGATTTAAATTCAAATAAAGACAGATACTACGCTACAGAAATTCTTCCAAATCAATGGGTTTGCGTAATCAAAGATAACGAAAAGCAGAACAAGTGAAAGACAAGTAAATAACACACAAAGAGTATTGGCGAAGCCAGCATTTCAATGGAACACAGTTATGTTAGTAATATTGCACAGAAAATGTAAAACTTGAACACGTCACTTCTGAAACATTTACCTATATTGGTCAGGGGCTGAGAGACAGAATATCTCATGAAGCGGGAAAATGTTTGCAAGTGTTCAAAGAATTCGTGTTTTTTTCTGAATTATATTAATGCCCAGACAAAAGCAGTTTTGCTTTGCCGAAATAAAGTCAACATGTTAACAAGAAGTTGGAAGAGGCTCATTGCTTATCGAGTTGATGATAGAATGGTAAGAACATAAATATATATAACAGTACAGATTTGTTCACTAATCACAACAATATACAACACGTACATAAAGCTCCCAAGTTTGCACCATTCTATCTTCATAGAATAAATGAATTAACAAAGTAACACGGGATCTAGTATGAATAGCATTGTGAGGCGAGGAATATCTGGTAGTTTATTATCAATATAGGAGGAATAATTTGACTGCTGCAGCCGAAGAGAGGAACAGAATTGAACCAAACGAGTTTAGGGCGCATTAATGAAGCGCATTCCTGCACCTAAGTATCAAATAATTAGGTACCAACTTTTTGAATATTTATGGAATTATTGATTTACTATTGATTACGTAGTTATAAAATTATAGACAAATATTAGAATAACTTTCAAGTTACGCAACGTATTCCAGTGAATGAGGAAAAGAAGGCGAGCTAAGCCAAGTTCCCAAAGAATTAAGTATTCAACAAGATTGGTCGAGATTAACTGAAATTGTTTTACAACACTAGTCAGTCTTCGAATACCGTAGCCTGAAATTCTGAAATACCCAACAAATTTTTCTTCAAAAATCCGTTGGAACGAATTACAGCCTTTGCAACAAAATGACATTTCTATTTCAATAGAGATTAGAAGTTACAGCAGAGAAGAGGTAGGTAGCAGAACGAAAATTACAGTTAAGCTACTACACACAGCTGGAATGATAGCTACAGTTGCTACGAAAATAAAACTCTTTTTTCAAATCACTACATAATAAGTCAGCTCTCAACTAACAGATGAAAACTACAAGCAACTTCAAAGACTACTACACAAAATACGTTAGATATTGAAAATATATAAAATACATTACCTCGAAAATGGTAGAATATTGGAGTCGAACTAAGAGAGTTAAACAGTAATTAGAAAAAGAGTAATAAAAAATAATTAGACAAGAGTAATAAAGAGACTAATTAGGCATGGACGCAAAATAAAACAGTAATTAGAAAAAGAGTAATAAAAAATAATTAGACAAGAGTAATAAAGAGACTAATTAAGCATGGACGCAAGATAACACAGTTGGAACATGTAAATGACCGGTCTACTAAGCATGCAGCCATATTATATACTTGACAGTTTGATTGATTAAGTAATACAGAAGTAAATACGCAAACACCCTAAAACTAAAAATTTTTCATTTACATCAGAGCGAATACAAATCAATAGAAAATTTTTGTTCTACTCTCAAGAAACTCAAGCTGGAAATAGGAATGAAAAACCAGAGTTTTTGATGTCACTAGAAAATATATTAGCCTACTACTTAATGATCCCGATCTAGAGTGATACGGTTGTCCCGATATGAAGAGATCATTTCTAATACAAAAGTAATCAATACGGAATTTGTTCACTATTCCTAAAATTATTAGTTTAGATAAAATAAGCAGGAAGAATGGGCTTAAAAATATAAGCAGTAATCAAGCCAATACCGATAAGATGGGACGACGAAACATGGCGAAACAATTCAAAATAATAAAAATTATTGTGATTTTCCGTGACTCAGGAATGAGTGACATATTACAGCAGGAAAGATTGATCGAGTCTATGACGTCTTCCACGCGTCAATACTGGCCCAACAAGAAGGCATTAATTATTCATAGCGTGGTAATTAGCTGCTCGCTTTCGCATTTAGAGGAATCTCACACCTGAGTTCTGGCCTTGATATATTCTGTAATTGAGGGATTCTAACTATTTATATACAGGGTGATTCACGGAAACTTCCTGATTTGAAAGCTCAATAAAAACGAACTAGTAAAGATATCATTACAATATGAATTTTATTGAAAAAAAAAATTACCCAAATTTTTGTATCCTTAAGTTTTAAACATGACGTGTGACAAATGACGGCCCCAAATGTCAATGCTTTCAGTTAGTCGATTTTTGAAGTTCCTATCAACTCGTTAATCGTTTTCGTCGAGATCATGTGCCACAGACAATTTGCAGGGATGAAATTCCAGTTCTTTGTGGAGCATCTTTATCACACTACTATTTGAAATCCCAAGAATAGCAGCGTGTTTACCACTTACCTTAAATGTACCCACGTAACAATCGACTTCTGATCATGAACCCGACCTGAAGCACGAATACGGAAACTAGTACGGAATGCTCGTTGACCAGCAATAATACCAATTAGAAAAGTACGCCTCGACATCAAGCGCACGTTGCTCACTTGTCCAAAGCATAGTAGCAACTGACTAGGCGGAATAAAGCTTCATGACCTTGCCTTTCATATGAAATACTCCCCGCCTTCTTCCTAAAACATCTTACTGCTTGGCGTGAAATACAAAACAGGACGTTTCCGTGAATCACCCTGTAATGGAGAAAACAGCATGAAACTTGGAGCCTCATGAATATTCAGAATTGAAGGATAGGTGGTTGATTGGACGCAAATATTAGTTTTCTGTAATGTATTATTAGCTAAATTGGTGAAAATTTGGTTTAGAATTGAATGATGTGTTGAAATTTTAAGCACCAGAAAAAAATATGCAGCTCGGGAACAGTTCAACTACAATATAGTGTGGAAAATTATTAGGACTTCCACCACAAAATGAGGAAGACTAGGTTCAAAAAGAAGCAATAATTGCAGCTCGAGACCCTAAAATTCAGGCCTTACTAGACATTGAAAGGAAAAGGGTATACATGTACCGGTTAAAGTATACATGTACCGGTTAAAGTATACATGTACCGGCTGAAGTATACATGTACCGGCCAAAGTATACAAGCCAAGTCTTTGAAGCAAAGCAGAACCAGAGTATAAATATAAATACTGCAATATCAAGCAACGGGATTCTTGGCTTAAACAAATCATAAAATTTCAGATTTTGAAAACATGCCCGATTTTCACAAATGAGAGAACAGCGATTCATTGTAAACTTATTATGATCTCATTAAAATTCTTAACTTGTCGATAAGTAGAAATTAATATGTAATTCACCTCGTATGAAATACTACACGGGAATATGCTTTTGAAACTGCAGAAAACTGCTCATGACTTCAATGTAGAACAATTAAACGAAATACGTAATGTTACACTAGACAATACAGAGACGAGTTTCTCGTGAGTCAAACTTGTTCACGAGAATAAATTATATCTGGTCATGGGACGTATTAAGATTTAGATACACGCTTACACGCTTTATAATTTTCATGAAACATCATTCAAAGTTCAACGATTATAAATAATTTGAAATTACAAAAGAAATAATCCTAAATATTTGCTGCAGAGAGCGAAACGAAATTCAAAGTCATTAAACCTTTGTCAACAGAACAGCTTTTCCATGTGAACGAGGAAGTAACTTTTTTTCAAGGCCTTTCCCGTTCAAATTCTAAGAAGTCTAAATTTTGCACATAATTTATAGATTAGAACACATTGAACAATAATGTTATCGCATAGCTTCATGTCCTTTAACCATTATTTTTAATAAAGCTATTCTGATCCTTCAACAATTACTTTTTAATTTTAATAAAGTTAGTGTGAGTAAAATGTTTGCAAGCATCAAGGGAAATGGCAGGGTGATGAGCGATTCTAGCAACACAGTTTGTTATAAAAGAACGAAACATTAGACTTGAAAGCGGACTGGCATCAGGATACCCTGTTCTCTGAAACAAGCTTGAAAAATAATATTGTGATAACATAAGCTCAATAGTTTTCAAACTGAAGTGGGTATAGTGTGCAAAGTAATGAATGGGCCATACAATTCTTCAGCTCATTCGTATAGTGAATATCATTACCAACATCACATAAAGTTGTGAAAAATCTCCTCCATACTTCAGTCATCCAAGTCAAGCCTCAAATTTGCTAAGCTTTACCTTAGTCCGATTAAATTTGAAGAGGGAAAAAACTATCAATTTGTTTCCCAGAAGCAATAAAATTTCAACTATTTAAATTCCTTACATAAGCAAATACATATTTTTACTCAACAGCTTAGTATCATTCACCTTATTTTAGATAGGAAATATTTTCTACAACCATCAAAATAACTTTATAATAACGTCTTAAAGATTTTCCAGATTGGCCGAATCTGATGTTATTTCATAAAACAATAACTAGTTTAATCAAATTCAGTTACTTGCAATAACTACTAGACTCGATTAACGTCAAAAAACTTGCGGCGCGCTTTCAAAACTTAACACACGGCTCCCCCATAACACCGTGTTGAGCTAAGAATACTACTGAAATAAAATCAATCTAGAAGATTGGCGCAAAGCGATAAATTTAAAACACTGCAAGATCAACTTATGAAATAGTTGTCAGGAGCACCGATTGAATTTATTGGAGTTCGGTCACCAAGCCCGATTAATTTCCGTGACATGACAACATTATTTCCTTGTCATAACAAAAATCAACTGACGACAGCAGTAAAGCTCTGGACACTTTTCCAAAGCGCGCCAGTGCAGGGAGATGCTTGACGTTTTCAGTATGACCTGATGGTGAAGAAAACAAGTACCGTGTGGTAGACATAAGTGAATGCAGCTCGTAAGGAAACAATGAGCTGTTATAATCGCTGTAGTTCAAATTTTAAAAGTAGCAATTGCATTTCAATTTAATCCGATGAAATTAAAAAGCAGCTGTTAACTCGTTCTGAAGTCGGTTAGTAGAAAACATAAGATCCTTTGCCTTGTTGGTAGAGTTCGCAAGGAGGCGGGGATACAGGAAGAAATACAGAGCTGCATGCAGCAGCAGCAGCACTTCAGACGTTAGAGTTTAAGGCTGCAGGATTCCTCGCGAAAGTAAAGACTCCTGCAGAAGGTTGAACATCTGCAGCTGCTGGTCAGGCTTCATGAGGTACACCTGTAAAACATTGTCATCATTCAACCGTTTGTATGTGAGCGTTAAGCCCTTAAATCGTTTACTTTCTAAACTTTATTCTAGAGGCTGATACATAAAAAAATCCACAATTCTATTGGTTTCATGAAAGATCATTCAAAGTACAACGATTAAAATTAGGTTGAAAATACAGAAGAAATAATACTAAATATTTGCTGCAGAAAGCAGCAATATTCTGCAGCCAAGTAAGCAAGAACTCTGACCCGGAATCCCGGAATAAGAAAGTTTCAATTCATTATTGCTTAATTCACGCATGATGTATTGTGCAGTCAAAGCAATATAAACTCATTGCCCAATGAAAAATCATACTCAAAAGCCATCATATGTGCATTTCCTAAACTATTACCGGTACTACTCCTTTAGGGACAGGAAATGAAATGGAAACGAAACTAATTCTGCATTGGGTTGCAGTAGTAGAGGCTGCCTACAAACTCGATTATGTAGGTACTGAAGTTAAGGGCGAACAAAATCAATCTTTTTAATTTAAAGCATTATCATCTAGAGAAATTCTCAGCACGTCCTTTTTCCCTTCCTATTGCACAGGGTAAGCTGGGATACTAGCGGATGCAGAGCCATAGTGATTATTTGTTTACGGCTAGATGACGGATACATGCGACCCTGTACTGCATATCAAAATCACTGTATAAAGGGCACAGTAATCAATGACTAACCTTCTGCAGGAGTTTCTGAGGCGACACCTCAGAGATGAAGGACCAGATGTAGACGTTGACGAAAGTGGCCATCAGGAATTGGCAGTCAAATCTGTCCATCATGCCACCGTGCCCAGGAATCACGTCACCAAAATCCTGATTAGCAAATTGCAATTGATAACCGAGGCTGAGAGGTGTGCTGAGGTCAGTTTCATTGATCTTTATCTACTATATAAATTTACCAGAACTGTTTGAAGACGAGGAACCGTAATGATGAAACTGAAAAGGATAATGATAATCAATCTTGTTATCACCACAAAAATTTGGTTTCTAAAAAAAATGCTGTTTGAAGACGGATAAAAATCTAAACAGAGCAATCATGAATTGAATGATAGAATTATGGAACTACACAGTAAAGTAATAGATAAGATTGGCGAACTTTTATCTTGAAGGCACGCTTGAAGCCGCTGGCAAAGAAGCCCCCGAAAGGACCGATGACGCTGCTGAAGAGCGACAGCGCCACCGAGTGGAACACGAACGGGTACATCAGGAAACTCTCGGAGCCGCCCATCTGAGGGGAGTCCATAATTAGCAAGCTTAAAGAATGGTTAGTACAACGTGCAGCAAATAATAGTAGTATGTGGAACAGGTACTAATTGGTGGTGCATGGCACAAGTAATTGGTCATGGCTCCGGCGGTAATGCCAGGTAAATACCATGCATGAGATCCTGGCGAGTGACGGTGGCAAGGAGTACTCGGTGAGGACGAACGCAGGAGGCGGAGGCTCGCAGTAGAAGTTGAGGCTGTCGGCCGCCTCGCTGTACTCCACAGGGCACGTGAAGAAGCTGAACTGGCACATGACGTATGACATCTGAGGGGTGGAGGAAATATATGAACCCCATATATGTGAGGGAAATATATGAAGGCAGCAGAAATATACAGAAGGAAGGATGAAGCAGAGGGTGCTGGGTCACTGTGCGTGAGAGTGAAGAAATTCATGTAGCCCATGTGTTGAGGGGAATGATGGGACAATGGAAAGCCACATTATTCCTGCGGTAAGAGGGAGGGATGAAGCAGAATGGGACATATAATCAGTATGATGGAAAAAAGAAAATAAATATGACCCATGTGATGAGGAGTGAGGTAGTAGACACCTCATGAAGCTCGTGATAATGAGTATGAATGATAAGATTCATAGGGAAATAGGCGTATCAATACACCAACGCTGCCTTAGTCCTGAATTGATTCAATTCCATAACTAAGGCAGCTTCATGGATAGGATGAATGACTTGCAATATTAGAGAAGGACGAGTGGAAGGTGTGGATCTTAAGTTCAGACGTGAAGAAGAGTTAACAATTTTGTAACCTTGGGACTTGAGAAATGGGATGCAACAATAGGGTCTTTAACTTAAATTGCCCAAAAATTGCTGCAGAAAGCTGATATTTTTTTCATGATACAGGTATCATTTAGTTGTAGACAAAATTCAGATTTTTTAATCATAGTTTTCAATTTTTTTCTCTAGAGTAGAAACGATGAAATACAGTAGGTAGTAGAAAGGAGACAATGTGTTTTCAGAAGAGACTTTTGGATTGAAGAAATTTACATACGGTAGCATTAAACTACAGTCAACACTGGCAAGGACAGACATTCGAACCCATAGAATAAAAGCCAACAAGGAAATACAGTATGACGACTCACTAGCATGCCCAGGATGACGGTAGAGATACCGCCACCAATGAAGCCCTCCCAGGTCTTCTTTGGACTGAGTTGGATGAGTGGCGTCTTGCCAAAGAAGAAACCGAACATGTACGCCATCACGTCATTGATGATAATCATCGATACCGGTACAATGAACCAAATCATACCCTGCAATAATAACACAAATGATAAATTATTTTTCATTTAATTTGAATGCTTTCCTCGTAGTGCAATAAAAATTAACAGCACTCCTACAATACAACGACCAAAATAAAGAAAGAACAAGTTTACAGTGAACACGCAATCTTGAAGTGCAAATGGTACATAAATTTATGTTAATTTCACATATATCTGAGAGATGAAGATAAAATAGCTCTATCCTACACAACAGTAATAGAGTGATGGTACTGCAGCAGTGACAGTGCCAGCACGCACCTGGAAGATATTGATGATGATGAGGTAGCTCTGCGTGACGACAATAAGCAGCGCCACATGAGTCCAGGCAAAGAGGGAAAACTGACGCATGTAGTAACGCTTCTTCAGTGACAGCACAAACCATACAAAGCCAATGATGTACATAAAGAACGAGATGAAGCGGTGATACGATATCGACCACCGCAGTAAAGCCTGCAAACAAACAAAATGAGGCGGTGATATGATACTGACCATCTTAGTAAAGTCTGCACACAGTAAACTTATCTAAAATTTGCTTGTAACAATGGAATGGAGGATTCATGAACTAGAGATTGCTAATTCTAGTGTAGGTAGGCTAGCCTAAAGCTTTAAAGCAATTATAAGATAAGAACACATTCACTGCAAGTAATGAGCTTCTGAATGGAATTTTTTATTATCATGGATAAAATATTACTCTATAGCTATAGGTATTTAATCTTCAATCCATGGAAAAATGAAGTTAGTTGCATTAAAATTTTATTCACGTTTGGAAAATGATTAGGTATTGCAACCCAGCCTGAACAGACAAGATTCCCTCTCACAACTTCAGAAGCCAAAAGCCCTACACAAATATTAATAAGCTAAGAGCCTCACTTCAATACTAGTCAAAGCCTAATATCTCACTCACACTCTTGGAGAAGATGACCCCAAAGTAGTCGGCCACGAGGCTCTCGCCATAGAAGAAGTAGTTGCTTGTGATCAGGAACCACCAAGACAGAGAGCGGAACCAAGGCAGGCCATGCATGCGGTAAACGGTATAGCCGATGTTGATGATCTCCTTGAAGCACCAAACTTGCACCACAAGTGTCTGCACAATGATGGATATGAGTGTAAAACTTAGACTTGGTATGAGAGTAGTGTGACTAAAAAGATTAGTGATAGACATAATAATAATGATAGTAAATAATGATGTATCAATCATGATGGAGTAAAATTTTCATATATTAAGCAATTTGAGTATTATGTTAATTGCTGTGTACCATTAAACCCTAACTGAAAAATCAAGACTAGTAGGTATAATTCCCACCTATTACAGTTACACCTATTGCTCTATAAATCATAATCTGAACTCATCACAACGACCACAAGGCATCACACCTACATAGTTATTACAGGTAGCAACTAAAAATAATGTGATCCTTACTGTGGCCATGAGAGCCAAAGGCCCCACCCAGATGATCAGGCAGAAGAAGCCAATCATGAGCCATGTGAAGACCCCACGAATAACCCAGTTGCGCCACCTGTTAAGTCAATTAGTAAGATTTATATGTTCACATTATAAACTGGATATCTAGATCACCAGTTACATTGTTGATGTATTTTTCATCATTTATCACAAATAAATACCAATACCATTTTAAAACTTAGGCAAAAATGTTCTACCTTGTTGCTCAAGATATGGAATAAAAGAGTTTTCATTAGTAACAGCAATTTGAAATGAGGCCATAATAAGGCTGCACCAGTTACCGTGGAGGAAGATCAGGTAAGAGGCATGCCAGAACGTGTGGTGTGTGATCTGTACCCTGAGGCAGGCTGCTCAACACCTCCACTTTGGGCTCTACCAGGCTGCTGTGGTCGTCATCAGAGTCAAGCTCCGAGTTAGGTCCGTCAACTGCTTCCTGTAATCGCAGTGTGTGGGTATAAAAAATTTAAATAATCCACTAATCATTGATACTATACTGAAAAATATGCAGAGAAACAATCACTTCCATGTTTAATAAATAATAAATAATGATAATAATAGGTAAGTTCTGTTCCAGTTGATCATATAATTTTAAGATCAAGTAGGCATATGTCACCCTAGTTTATACAACTGACATGAAAAGAAATAAAATACACTTTAATGAAAAGTCAACAGAAGGACATTTTACATGAAACCTAATAATTTGTGGATGATAGGGGATTAAATACTTAAGCAAATAATTTAAATCAGAAGAGCATTTTACCTACAATGTAGTTGAAGACTATCATCATGTTACCAAAAATTGACAAACTGCAGGTGACTTCAAGACTATCATAACATTACTATGAAGGGCAGACAAATACACAAAAATCTTTTAGATGGCTACCAGTCAAACCTGTTCACTGGCCTCAGCACACTCTGTTGCAGCTGTTTCCACATTTCCAGCAACTGTTAAGCGCTTCCTCAGGCCTCCTTCAATGCCCTCAGGTTGATTAGGCAGGGCTTCTTCTTGGGTAGCCATTTGTGATTCACTTTTTCAGATTTCTTTTAATGTCTTGGCATTACACTGCCGCAATAACGGTAAATCTAACAGAATTCTGGAAGACAAAGATAAACATCTGAAAGGTGTTAGGGGTTTAAGAATTCAAGTAATATTTACAGCACACATACTAGACTAGTCTTCCCAATTTCCTTGCACATAGCTGTTAGAGCTCATGCAAATAATGTTCACAATAATTCATATGAACTAAAACTTTGCTAAATAGCATTAATTCCAGTACTGTCCAAACTGTAATGATATTAATGATTCCACCACTTCAAAACGTGTGCTCAGATTGGCAACATTATATTATCTTAGAATTGTATTGCATCATCTATATCATCAAATACTTTGTGATAATGTTTGTCCTTAGTTATAAGTAATCTTTAATTATTCAAGCAATTACTCTCAATAAATGCTATGAAAAAGATATAGTTTTCTATGATGAAATTATTTGTATATTATATTTGTTTCTGACTTTGTAAAATTGAAATTTAAAAATCAGTTCTTCTTGAAAAGCAATGCATAATATTCAAGCATATTCAAATAATAAATCAGCTGCTTGCACAACTGCATATGAGGAGGCAACTATTGACTGCAGATGTGAAATATCCCAACCTATCAAGCCACGACTAGAGCTTTCCAGCCATCAATTTTTTACTAGAATCTATTTTTAGCCAATCTATTTTTTACTAGAAGGCATAATCTGGCCCCATGCAGACAAGATTCCAAATTTATTGGAAATTTGTTACTTAGAGGGCACAAAATTCCCAAATAATAAGCATAGGAAAATTCCAATCCTGGCTACCAGGTCAGGAGAAGTCCTATTTCTTTCTGAAATATCGTGGCTCTAATATCATATAATTTCAGTAGGTATGAAATTTTACGGCTCTAATGTCATGTATTTTTGTTGGATTAAAATATACAACTTCGCAGACATGTCGCTTCATAAAATTGTAAACTTTTACAATCCGCATTACTTCAACGCACCCGCCAAAATATCCTGCAGAACGTAATAACAACAAGTCAATCCAAAACGTTTTCTTGAAAATTGAGTAGTTGCGGTCGCGTCAGAGCGGTCAGACTGCATTGTCACATGTTCAGGTGCCACTTAAGTGCAGACAAATGTTATTGTTGCTGTACTATCAGACTGTTTTCAAGGTAAAATTAGATATTAGGGATAACACATGCACGTGACTTTGTAAATAAGTTTGTGGCTTGTAATTGGCTTTTCATGACAAAGATATGGAATTCATGGCTCAAAGAAATGGAATTCATGGCTCAAAGAAATGGAATCACATGGCTCAAAGAAATGGAATGAAACATTTCTTAAACAAGTTTGGGCTCATTTTAAAGCTCTTTGCAAGGGCTATCGAATGACACCTCCAAAAAAATCCATACCTATGCAATTTGTAAGGAACCAGAAGCAAAAGAAAAGCATCCCAAATTACTCCTGGGAACAGGGTAATCCATGACACTTAAAATAAAACTAAATTTTAAAACGTTTGAAGCATGCAAAGTGTACTCCCCCATTATTAACAGTACTTACTCTGAGGTCCTCATCTTCCTATATAGATGTATAATAAATGATATTTTCATGATTTTTACTGGTTTTACCTTTATTGATATGATACATATTCCCTTATCCATGGATATGCTATTGAGCGTTTAAAACGACCTTGTCCACTGCAAGCTCCATATCAGCTGCTATATAGCATTTCTTCTGTACCTGTAAGCTTGTAAGATAGCTTGTAATTTCACACTATTTTAATTGGGTCAAGTGAATTCACTACCCGGTATAACAAATAAAGATTGCAAAAACATGCCTGAAACAGAAATGAATATTTTAGTGACAACCATCATATTTTTTGGAGAAATAAATCATAGTTTAAATAGGTAAATTGCTTTTCATTCTGTGTTGCCCAGTGCACAATTCTATCTCTGACATTCTATGCACAATTTTGTGATGCATTAATTTTTTGTTAAGTGAAATCTTTTGGTTGAGCAAGGTAAATATAATCAAAATTTAACTGATTTCTTGCTTAACTGGAGCTTTTGCTAACTGAGGTTCTACTGTAAATACATTTTTAGGGGTGTACCTTATAACCCCGGAGGGGTGTCTCTTATTACTCCATCGTGTGGAAATGGCTGCCATTTTTTAATGAGATAGGCAAATTCTGTTTATCATGTTTTCAAGCCAACACCTGTGTGCAACTTTTCCGTAAGTAAAATTTCTTAATATGGCAAATTTTTTTTTACTACAGACCTTAGCAGAGGTACTTTTCCAAAATAGCACTTTTTGCACTTTTTTCAGGGATTTTTTAAAGGTAGTAAATGTACGATTTCCTAACTTGCTTTATGCTACATAGATAGTAAAAATGTTGAACTTTACACCACTTATTTTAGTTTGTAATATTTTGATCAGTTTAGCTGCTACAATATTTCTACGAAATGTGGGACAGCTGTCTTGATTTAACCCACAGGTCACTTATTACCCTGTTTGACAGTATATACATTTTAAGGCTTGTGGTCAAAATGCAGGGAAGTCTGAGAGCAAGGTTTTCGCGACCATCGTGTAAAATCCTTGATCTGCCCAAAGCTCAGCCAGTAGCTACCCTTGAGCTTGTACTCTTTGTAATATGATATCCTAGCCAGACCGTTCTTCGCGGCAACTGGTCGCTTTCAGGTGGCCGAGGAATGGCCAACGGTCGGATGTAACTAATTGGATAGGCCGACCACTGGCCACGTATTATTCTTCGCCCCTCATTGACTTTGCCTTCACCATGCCACCCATGGTGAACTGACAGTTGAGTAATTTATGACGTCTCTTTCCCCTCAAACATTGCACAAAGTCTCCATTTGAGCAGCTAGTATGTGGGACTTTCCCTCCGCGTATCAGCAGACTCGATCATAACTATTTTTTGGTAGAAAATATCTACAACAAGGAGGCTGATCAAGGAATGCCAAGTATACCATTCAATGGAGAATAAAAATTACAACCCGTTTACATCTTGAAAAAAGTAAAAAGTCGCAGACATGATGAACAATAATATTCAAAGTTTCTTGAAATTTTCTCTCACTAAAACTCTTTTAATACAAAGTTCACATATTTTTTGCTACTGGTCGATGCTTATAAATAAATACCGTAAAATGGGGTAACTTAGACCACTTTTTTTTATAAATGATGCCATTTTTTCACTAGCTAAATTAAACTTGAATTGAAACATGCAAAATAAAGGTCTATACTCTAGCTTCACTCACCATAAATTGCTGGCTCCTGCCTCTCATAGTCTTTAAGTAATTTCAAAAAAATGATGGTCTTTGTTACCCCAGCTCTTGGGGTAACTTAGACCGGGTGGTAAAATCAATTATATTTTTTGGTAAAATAACTCCAGGTTTTGGTGCATTGTAGTAGAACTCTTCTAGTTACATATGCAAATGACAAACTTGAGGAAAGTGTCATAGTTTGCATGTTTTTGAGTTGTGGGGGTTTTTGTTAAAAAAACGAAAAGTGGTCAAAGTTACCCCGCCGGTCTAAGTTACCCCATTTTACGGTAGCTGGGTAAGTATGGAAAAATCCATATCGCCATCTCATTTGCAAGTGGAGAAAAGTCTATCCTAATTAGTGAAGAAACGCATAGGGAAGAGCCGAGCCTGTTCGAAGCCTCTCGGTTCTCAATCAGGGCCTCAAGGATTTATAATTATACTCCAAACTGAAAAATTGGGCAGAAGCCATCAATTAATGGGACAAAATTGCCAGTGAGTCCCTATATGAAATATTGGGCAAATTTTCCTAAAATTGCTTGTAAAACCAATTGCTTTAAGGGTAATTTTAATTTTAAATAAATTTCAAGTAAAAATAGGCCATTCTTCTTGGCTTCTTGCTTTTAGGGTAAGATTAGGAAAGGGTCATAAGAAGAGGAAAAAAATGCTAGATTTACGAATGTTTTTGTCCAATTCACAGAATATCATGGCTTCTGCAGCAGCCCAATTGTCCACTAAGGTGTGAATCTGACAATTTCACCTGTTCCTGTGGCCTTTTCCTAATTTCTTAAGTGAGAAATAAAAAAATTAATACAATAAAATATGAATGTAGCTAATTAAAAATACTATTTTTATTAGCCATTTTTGAAAATCACTATTAAGCAATCATTTTTACATGTGAATGTGATGTGTGAATGTGATTGTCCTAACTAGTAACTCCTAACTAAGAAACTCATCCATTCTGGCTTCTGCCTAATATTCCAAATTGAATTATGGCAATCCAGGCAATGCAATGAAAGGAGAAATCATTTTTGGACAAAAGTGAGATGTTATTAAATTCGGTAATACTTTAGATCAAGTGCATCCAAAAATAAGGGTGTTTTTTTTGTTTAATTATATGTTTTTTGGGGTGTAGATAAAGAATCTGAAATCCGTTTTTGGCGGTCGGCATCGGAAAACCAATTTTTTTCCCCAAGGCTCTAATTCATCAAAAAAAAAAATTGGGCAAAAATCAGCAAATAAACCTAACCTAACCTAACCGTGGTTGCAATGTCATGGTTGCAAGAGTATATGGGTCACCGAGGCTAAGTTAAAAATGCTACCGAAAAATGGGGTAACTTTGACCACTTTTTTTCAAAATGATGCCATTTTTTTTACTAGATAAGTTGAACTTAAATTGAAACATGCAAAATACAGGTCTATACTCTAGCTTTACTCACCATAAATTGCTGGCTCCTACCTCTCATAGGTTTGATGTAATTTAAAAAAAGTAATGGTCTTTGTTACCCCAGCTCTTGGGGGTTTCTTTGACCAGGTGGTAAAATAAATTTAATTTTTTTTTGGTAAAATAACTCCAGGTTGTGGTGCATTGTATTAGAACTCTTCTAGTTACATATGCAAAAGACAAATTTTAGGAAAGTGTCATAGTTTGCAAATGGGGGCGCCGCCCCCCAATGGGCAAAATGTGACCACCTAATGGCAGCCGTGACGGGGTAACATTGACCAGTTTGGAAATTAAGTTAAAATTACCATATATAAGACTCTGTAGAGTCTGAAACATAAAGAAAAAAACATTAATAGGTGTACCGTATCAGA